CTATCAAAGCATAAAATAACAATACTAAAATAAAATTTGGTGCTGCTTTTTTACTCACGTCGCATTCTTCCCTAAATTATGTATATTCCCTATTTATTGTTTTTTTATTGAATTAAATTTTAGTACTTTATTAAATTTCGAGGTATGGCAGCGCCAAGTTTTTTTACAAGAAAAATTTATTTTATTTTGATTAAATATTTTTATTTTGTACTGTTAACTCTTTAATTCTTTGTGATTAAAATGAATCTTTGTAATATTATAACTTTGTTAAAGAGGAAAGCTACTACCACTTGGGTTGGAATAAGAAAAGACCCTTGAATGGGATCACAAAAGATATGTACCGCTTGGGTTTTATTTTTTAAAAGATAGTTGCACAACAATTATTTTTTAAAACAATAGAGGTAAATCTGAAGGAGAGCTCACTCCTCTCCGCGGGGCAGGGCAGAGCGACGCTTTTTTCTGCCAGATTCGGTCGTTTTGAGTAAAAAGTGAAGTAAAAACACGTCGAATGAGCTTAATTTCATCAAAATCGGAGAGGAGTGAGCTCTCCTTCAGGTTGGTCGCGTTCAGCAGACCAAGCCGCTCAGTAGCAATCGAACGTGATTGGCTCTTACTTTTAGAACCAACCAATCAACGTAGAGTGATGATAAGACGAACTCAACAGTTGTGTCTGCTGAACGCGCCCATTTACCCTGTGTCTGTATAGGTGCTTTCTTTAACCTATCTCCATGCATCTCCGAATTTGGCGAGTTTGCTAGGTTATGTACGTGTTCGTTGTGACAAGATGAGCAACGTGGACGAAACGTCAAACGAGCCGATTCTGTACGAACTATTGGAATATTTCGTTCGCAAGCAGGAACCGGAATTGATAGTAAGTCTGAGACTTTTTAAGGATACGCGAGCGGGAAATCGCAGGGTTAAAGAATATTACCGTTCGAAGTCTAGATGTTAATTGTGCTATGTAGAGTTGGAGTTTTAGAGTTGGAAGCTACTTGAAAAAAAGAAGCATTACCATAGCTGTACTTCTAAAATGTTCAACATTTCAGAAATGCAAGAACGATGCGGCTATTCTTCCAGCTACTGGCACCATAAAAAATGCTCTCAGGTACTTCAACAATAGGTACTCCCTACCTGAGAGCATCTTGCAGCAAGTCAGTCTCACGCTGCCATGGAAATTTGCTGTCGGCGATCATGGTCGAGTACTTGCTATTTTACAAGAGAATATCATTGAAATACGGAAGGCCAAAGATGAATATTCCTCCATAGTAGGGAAGGCATCTGGTAAATGACACGTTAATATTATCAGTACCGTTAACATTTCCCGACAGACATCTAATTTTTCTCAGTTATGCTTTATATGTGAAATGCTTGTATTATCTAGCTCCAAAGGATGCCTTTCCTCAATGGCGTAAGCTTGCCTGGAGTCCCAATGGAATGATCTTAGTATTGGCGTCTAGTAGCGGCTATACATCCTTTTACAATGCATTGGGAAATAATATATTTAACATAAGTCTAAAAACGATTTCACAAAGTCCTCATATTCTTGAAGCTGGTGACGCTATAGCGTCTATGTTATTCCTTAAGCCAAGGACAACAAATGAAAAATGGGCCTACGAATTTATTTTAATTTCGTATAGCGGGTTGCTGAGGTCTTATCATATTTCTACAAGTGGCTACATTGTAAATTATGACTTTTCTTTCGGCAATTTTTACAAAAACGGTGTTAACGTCGTTGCGTATGATGAAAAACGTAGCTTATTCTATGTTGCTGGAAATATGATAACACAAAAATTGACGGTAAATATATCTAATAAGTATTATTTATATGCATGATATGTAATCTTGCAAATGTAATATACTTATATATTGTTTTAGTCCACTGCATCTGAGTTTGGATTAACTTCGTGGCGACTCTTGAATGATTATCCATACTGCAAATTATCATTTACGTTTGAAGATTCTGCTACCAGCAATTCGCGGTTTTCCATATGGAATTTGATTCCCAACTTTAGCTTTCAATCAGAGTCGATTATATTTTCGATAAAAATTTCACCAAATGGCGAGTTTCTGGTATGCTTGCATACGAATGGTTCAGTCTCGCTATGGGGTTTGCCAAACTTAATACTACAGAAAAAATGGAAGTTGCCTGAGCAACCGGAATATAATGTACCTAATCCTCTGGGACATACAAAGTCTAAAAAATTTCCACCAGGGTTTACAGAGTTTCATCCAATAGATATCGGTTGGTGGTCTGACCAGGTAACATATCTATCTCATTTATACATATATTTTATAAGTTAAACATCTTTCAAATAATACTAATGTTTTATAAAATAATTATTATTTTAAAATAATTATTCTTTTTTAAGGCTATCATAATAGCTCGATATTCAGGTTCCACTTCGGTCTGTTCTACATGGAACTTAAAGAATTTGCTAGGTGTTAGTCCAGAATTTCTAGCAGGACAACCACAAGTATGCGAGCTTGGTTTAGAGAAAGGATTTTTATGTTTAGATTGCGAAACCTTTATTACAAGTAAAAAACGAAGTAGAGAACCCAACGACGGTCATTTGTCAGGTTTGTAGCATATTTATGGTTTATTACTCTTGCAATTAATATCCTGGTATGGTAATTATTAGCTAATTTGTATTTTATTTATGATCTTTTTATTAAAAATGTATGAATTATTAAGTGTATGGAAAGAATAAAAATCTGTTTCATTTTATAATCAAGAAGCATCATCTGAAAGCGAGAAGGACGATGATGAGTTAGAACCTCTTACTATATTAAATTATACCACGAATTTGGTACAAAGCACATTGTATTCAATAACCGATATTGAAAGATTTCAACCAAAGAGAAAGAAATTGAAAGTATTGCATCGAACTTATAGAATTTTGGGCTTGAAAAGCACGACTCCAGAAGAGCTCTATTCTAGAAAAATAGACATTGAGGTATATGTATAAATAGTTTTATTGAATTTATTAGTTAACTTTAACATATCAAGTAACTGAGAAGTTGTATGGATGTTTTAGGAATACGAGGAAGCTTTAGCTTTAGCAAACACATATAATTTGGATACAGATCTCGTGTATCAAACGCAGTGGAGAAAGTCAGAATTATCATTGAACGCCATTGCAGAACATTTAAGCAAAATAAGCAAAAGATCTTGGGTTTTAAATGAATGTGTTGTACGTGTCCCTGATACTATGGAAGCTGCAAGGGAACTATTGAATTTCGGATTGAGAGGCGCAAATCTAGAAACTTTAATAGCTATCGATATATGCGACAATGATAAATTTGTAACTCCTGATATAGACGATTGGCAAGCACTGGATGAAATTACTGTAAGTTTAAGACAGGTAAGTAAGAACATCTTACAAAATGCACATGCATTATATTATAAGGAAAAATTGTATATAAAGAAATATAATTTAATTTAATTTTGGAAATCATATTAACAGGTACAGAAAGTTAATGAAATGCTTGAAAAAATAGACATAAAAAATTTATCTGAGGCTCAGAAAGAATTAATTAGGTATCGGAGGAAGCTTCTAAATCATTTAGATAAATTGCTTACGTATGAAATTATATTAGAGTCGCCACTCAAATATAAAAAAGAATTTTACGAGGAGTTTCGAAGGTTATCACCTATTGAAAATGCAATTAGGTATTAATATACTTACATATTTTGTTATCGATTAATGAAAAATACTATGTATTTTTATTTTGTCACGAATTATTTTTTAAATTACAGATTTGCCAAAGATAGTGATTGCCGAGCTGTTGAAATTATGTTTACTTATTATGGAGAAAGTTTGTTGCCTCATTGGCTGGCAATTATCAGCTTTTTCCCAGAAACTTTAAATACGTTGGATTATCAAAAACTGCTACCAGAATGCGATTCAGAAGGTCAACTATTTTTGTTAGATCAACGTGAATTACGACAAAAAGATTGGTCAGAAAAACACGAGTTTAATGAAATAATAAATCTTGATTTAGACGATCGATCAGAAATATTGTATGAATTGGATCCCTCCTTGTTAATATATAGGTAAGAATTTTGTTACATTATTGTCTGTATAGTATTTATATTATCTAATTATTTATATCATCTAATTATCGTTATTTTATTTTTAGAAATACACAACTTACACCAGATTTATTACAAAAATGGTATAAGACACGTGCTTTTGAAATTGAAAAGAACAGTTCTTTAGTAGATAATGCTTTGCAATTAGTTAAAATCGGAAAGTCTCATAATATTAATGGCCTGGTAGATTTGTTATTGGAATTGGAAACTTTAGACAATCTCGTTTACACAGTACATTTGGAGGATATGTCATTAGATAAATTAGAGAAATTGAGTAACATGGAGAAGATAAAACTTTTGATGAGTACATCAAATGAAATTAATTTTGTTGAAAATATAAAGAACCTTTTGTTACCTTTTATTAAACGAAGGCATCAATATTTGGTATGTATAGCTATATTTTAAATCGCTGAAATTATATACATATATACAATAATATACAATTGATATTGTTTATAATTTTAGGGTGGAGATCTTCAGAAATGCTTACTAAGCGATTATCTAATCTGCTTAAGCAAAGATGATTTGACATTTCCAGTTAAATTTTTCAAGTATTTAAAGCAGACGCAGGACATTGAGATAATTGAAATGATAGATAATGTTGCTAGCTTAGCTTTAGATTGTGTATATGCCTGTGATGATCCCGACATGTATGAAAAAGCTAAAGATATCTTAGATTCGATATCAAAAGATGATGGGAAAAGGACAAATGCAATATGCATTCTATTAGAGGAGTTTGAAGGAGAACTTGATTGCATTAGGCTTTTAAGTAAATATGGTGTAAAAACAACGTTAAAATTTATACGAAAGAATAGAAACGATCCTGATGTTGCTAAATCACTATTAACCCAAATGGCAAGAAGCTTGAATAAAAGGTTGTGCTAAATGTATAATCTATATAAAGATTAAGGACGTT